CAACACCATTCTTTGCAGTGGCAACATGTCGCTGTGACGTGGCCTCTACTCAAAGGTTTTGATTTCTTTGGATCGTACTTGAGTATAATTTAATTGTTCTTTGTGAAAGCACATCTAGGACGGCGTACACAAGGACTGTTCGACGTTTGGTCGGGTCGGTGTGCTACGTACTCGTACGTACATTGTACGGTAACAGCGGAGGCATCTGAGGCGCGCAACTGTTCTACGCTCACGTGCAGTTCCTAGTGCTCGGTGTTGTACCTACGTACAGTGAAGTGATGTGTCGTGCCACCCGGACTGACTATCAGCGCGGATAAAGAACAGCAGGCCACGTCTGGTTACTGGTACACGCAGCTTATTTACGTGCTCTTCTCTACTCAAACTGACGTCTGTTTCTCTCCACTTCTCTCATCCCTATTTCTTTGTTCCGTCTTGTTTCTGATCTGATACTCAAACCCACGTAGCGTATTTAATTAATCTACGATTTATTGAGCCACTCGGTTAGCGATTAAGTTGTGCATGTTTTATTTTGCCTTTATTTAAAATCATTTGCCATCCATCTTCGGTTCTTTCTGAAATATTAAAATAATTCCATTTATAATATCGTTATAATTTTCCCTTCCCTTCATAATATTTATAAAAGTAAAACTTAATTTTCTAAATTTTCGTTATCAAGTTGGTACTAAAATTGTTTCTTTTGGCACTTCTGGGGTTCACTTTGAGTTAGTGTAACATGAGCCTACGTCAATAATTCTCGTGGCTCATACTGTTCATACTTATTTCCTACTTTGAAGGTAAGGGAATTACGTGTTAACTCATATACCTACAGATATATGCAGATATAACGTGATGTGTATATTGAAGCAAATACAATAGAATAAACTTTATTGTACACCACTTTAGTATATCATACATAAAACAGTACATCAAATTAATGACCATGTACAAGTGGCGACCTTATCGCTAATAAGCAATTTCTTACAAGATACACGAATTCATAGGTACTTTTGGTGTGAAAAATGTAAAAGAATCAAACAATAATTATACAAGAAACAGCATTTAATTTCTCTAAAAAGTAAATAACAAAGTATTATTGATTATAATGCAGTCAGTCCTAGCAATACTCATATAAATACACATTAAATAATATAAATAAACTAGCTGACCCGGCAAAACGTTGTTTTATTAGGGGTGGGTCACCCTTGTCATTTAGGGGTATGAAAAATAGATGTTGGCCGATTCTCTGTCCTACCCGATGTGCACACAAAATTTCATGAGAATCGGTCAAGCCGTTTCGGAGGAGTACGGGAACGAACATTGTGACACGAGAATTAGATACATGCATACATCATCAATCATCATCACCAACAGCCTTTAATAGTCCATTGCTGGACATAGGCCTCTCCTTAGAAATGAGGTTTTGGCCTACTATACCACGCTGGCCAGACGGGTTGATATAGGGTTGGTTGCAAGTTTTCCTTCTCGTTGCAGTGCTGTTGTCTTGCAGAGTTTGCTCCCTTAGTCGGCTCTTACGACACCCACCGGATGAATAGGGGTGGTGACGGATTAAGAATACGGAGGTTCTTAATCCGTCGCCATACGGACATTATAAAAGCCACATTTTCCTTACAGAGGAATACAACGGATACTCGTAGAATATTTTTTAGGAAATAATGTTCTTTGACCATGTTCTTAAAGATAGGCAAGGTTTTGGCACGTTTTATAACCATTAGCAAAGTATTTCATAGTCGGACAGCCTGTACAGTAAACAACTTATCGTAAAACCTGATACAATGAGTTGGTGCCGCCAGTTCCAGACATTCAGATGACGTTCGGATCTTGAATGTAACTTAGGATAACTAAGCGTTCCTTTAAATAAGTTGCAAATACACGGAACCTCTCGCAATAGGGGACCCCAGGACAAATAGTCGGTTGTGATACGATATTGTCTCTTCTTATTTATACATCCGTGCATGTGCACGTGAGTGTTTGTTAGTTTGTATGTTTCACATCAAACGTGGACAAGTCCAAGTAAGTGGTTCGGGAGCATGTTTTTGTGGGCAGTTAGATTTATGTTATGAGAACGTAGCTCATTATATGGTTCGGTATTTTATTTACTTGTGATATCAGCATCGGCCGTGGCCAATCCGTTGCTGGTAGCATACGCATGTAATTGATTCGTCGACGTAGGTAGTTCTTTGTAAGTGTGTGGGTTTAGGCCTGACTGCTTGGTTCAGGAAGATGCCTCGCGACACTGAAGCGTACTGTGAAGCAACGTATCTACACAAGCAGTAGGTTTCACACCACCAGGGTTGCATACTCGCATAAGCAAAGGTGACCACTTTCCGTAAGTCGGGTTGTATATCAACTTATGTATGGATAACTGGCCAATTGCTACAGTCTTAATTCATTCGATTATACTTCAGTCGAATGAAGCGTTATGTAATAAACAATGCATACTTTTAACTGGCCTCAACACTCGCATACTATTTCTTTAGGCAAATTTAATATTTAATATTTGACACAGTAAATAATAAATATTTTAAAATTGACAAACGCCGGTAAATCTGGTTCAATTACTCGCACCGATCTGTAACGCGCAGCTGAGAAACTGCTGTGTCAGCCCTCAGCGGTGCGGCGCTGTCTCACTACGCTCAATTAGAAACTATTTACGTACACGAGCGACGCTAATTACTTATTACAATTGCGTACTTCTGCGGCTTGAATTATTTATCTTTTGTAAAAGATGCCTTCAGTTTTTATTTCATAACACATTGTTTGCAAAGGTAACGATCGGTTCATAATAACGATATAAGTCACTGATGATTGAAATAGGATTAGATGCGTCTATAAAATGGTTTTGATTTTAGAATAATTTAAGCACGGGCTCGTGGCTCAGTGGTAACCACGTAGTTTAACACATTGCAAAGTTAAGCAACCATAGCCATGTCAGTCTATGGATGGGTGACCATTTGCCATACGAAAATCTGTGTGAATCGTTACGGGTAGTTGTAGTTGGAGCCCTAAAAAGTCCGATAACAGTCATTCTACAGAACTTCGTTACCGCCTAGCACTTGGGTTGTGGAGGTTAGATGGCGGTCGACCCGCGTAAAATACCGAAGTTCAGCCGTATCGTAGATATCGTAGCAGACTTAAAGCCGACCCCAACCTAGTTTGGAAAAAAGGCTAGCAGAAAGAATGATTTAAGCACAATCCATGTGACTGCCATAAAAAGGCCTGATTGAACACACTCCTATGGTGGAACATTGATAAAATAACGGAACAATAACAGAAATATCAAACAAAGAAAGCGACTCCACTTTTCAAACTGCTACCCCAAACACAATAACCCTCACAACTGAACAACTGTTGTCTGATCGGACACATTCATGATTGTTAATGTGGCATGCAACATAAACCATTCATTGACTAGCCTGTCGCTTTAGTGGTTAGTGACCCTGACTGCTGAGCGGAGGTTATGGGTTCGATTCCCACCAAGTCCAAATAATTGTGTGATGAGCACGATGATTTCTTCTGTGTCTGGGTGTAATTTATCTATAATATGTATGTATTTAGAAATATATAAGTATGTTTATCAGTAGTCTGGTTACCATAGCACAGGCTCTGCCTAGTTTGAAATCAGACAGCCGTGTGTGACATGTGTGAAGTTATTATTAATAGTTTGACTGCAAATTTTACACAAAAGCAGTCTCCAAAGCGGCTGCTGAGTGGCCACAGTCTATCGTTTCAATCTATCCCTTTTTATAATTAAGTAAGCGAACCAAATGTTGCACAGCGTAACTAACAAACACGCAGAATTCCTAAAGAAATTCCAGTTTGCACCGGTAATTAACAGCGGTTTTCTGTAGGCTGGTTGCAGTGTCGGATTAAGCCAGCGCGGGGCCTGTAGCAAATTCTATCAAGGGGCCTTGGATTGTTTTAGGTTATCTAAGTAGTTTATGGTATTCATCATCATTATTAACAGCCCATAACAGTTGACTGCTAGACATAAGCCTCTCCTTGGAAATGAGGTTTTGCCAAGCAGTCGGCTTGGCTGGTTGAGTAGACAGGGCTCTGGCCTTGGGCCCCTCCTGTGAAACATAGGGGGACTGGGCCCTTCTAGTTGACTGCCCTCCCGGGCTGGGCGTAGTCTGTTATTTGGTTACAGCCCGTGGAGTGGACTTTCAAGAAGCGGCATGCCTGGCCACCAGGGATGTCTCTTTGGTGGTCGGGCGCATTGAGGCGCTGGGCTTATAGGTAACCCTGGATAAGACGGAGGCCTCTTATGGGCCCAATCGTGGTCTACCCACTGGCGCCTCAATCGTGGTCAACTCGATCATCGCACCGATTGGTCGGCGCTGCGTACGCCCTTGGGTGACTTTTGTCCAATTTGGGAGGACCCAGCGTCGCGACAAGATGGCTGTACACAGGGGTTGTCCGGTCAATGACACCGTAACGTGCACCGTTGTGAGCGGCGGCTTTACTGCCGCAGTGGTGCTCCAGCCGGTCATTGTCGAGTAGGCAGGTCGGCATCATGGGACCCTTTCCTTCTGACTGACACATTCTACACTCGGTCGCTAGAAGGGAATTGAGTGCCGCCTATCATCACTGCAATTGCAGTGAGGACTCGGCTCAAGACACCCTAGCAATTTGCCCGGCTTGGGCGTCGCAGCGTCGGGTCGCAGTTCAAACCAGGATTTCTGGTGCAACCATCGCTAACTTTTAGAAATGTACTAAAAGTTTAAATTATAGATGGACCGTGATAAGAATTGTGGAAGCGTTGGTGCGCGAGGCCCTTAAATGTGCGGGGCCCGTAGCGTTTGCTACACTTGCTACGTGGCTCATCCGCCACTGGCTGGTTGAAATAGACGGCTGGCTGGCCAGACAGATGTAATGTTAGCATAACTCTGTAAGCTGAAAGTACTGTTCCCGCTGCACTTCCGTAACAGCGTAGGAACCAAATGAATCTTTACTAACGGTTAATGCATGTGTTTGCGCAGGATGATCCCAAGACGCAAGCACAACGCGTCGTCCGGCTCGCTGCCGCCGCCCGACGACAAGCACGCCAGCAACGACTACATACGTGAGTATCGCCACTTGTTTATTCAATGAACCCCTCGTGATCTCCTTTCGACTGTAAAGAACTTAGAGATATAGAATTTATAGCTTTAGTCACATTAATGAAATCGAACATTACACATAACGGTTCGCAAGGCGGTGCGTGGTACAGTAGTACGCGCCTAGATGTCCGCACACTTAGCACAGCACTGAGCCAGTTCAAGTTCAGGGCCGTCGCGGCACGCGCCAGCCACCTGTGCGCTCACACTACTACTAGTTTTTGTGTACGCAGTGTCGTCATTAAGTGGCACGTCGCGCTATTGATACGTGAGCGCGTGATTGAACTTTCAGAAGCGCTCCTGCACTGCCGTTATTTAACGGACGAATAGAGTAATACTTCATAACTGACTGAAGGTGGCGTAGTGGTTTCGGCGGTCACCTCGCTGCTTCCGTTGTGAGTTCGAGCCCCACATGGGACATCACTTTGTGATTCACAAATTGTTGTCCTGAGTCTGGGTGTTCTTTGTTTCCGTTTCATGTACGTTTGTAAAGTTCCCCGCGACACAGGCTTTAAAACATAGTGCTGAGAAGCTGTCTATTAAATAAAAATAGAACAGAAATAATCATAACGTCAAAACTGAAGCCCTGAAATGTGTACTATTTACATCTACGGCGCATTACTGGCAGTTGTCCTCACGACGGCGTATTTAAATAGACCCGTGTAATAAGAACCTAATGAATTAAAGCCTAATCGTTTTTATATAAATCAATAACAATCAACAATTTATATAAATGTATAGTAGTTAATTAACTATAAGGATAATTTAGCTGAAATAAACAGGTTGTATATAGCATTACCTTTTATTTTCTCAGAAAACCGTTTTTTTTTAAATAGACGCTTACAATCAATTTGTTCCGTTTGGATATTAACTCGCCTTGTTTTAATTCGATTTTTAATTACGATACGATACTTGAAAATAGTTTATATGCGCATTACTTCTAGCCGGTTGGAATTCAATTGTACATTAATGTTCTCTCGACTGCCCTTACAGTGTCGGACAACGAAGCACGACGCGGATGGTGCGCTGCGCTGCGCCGCCGCTTTAACCGCAAAACGCTGCACAAACGACTCCCCATCACAGCATGGCTGCCTCAGTACAACACAGAGAAAGCCATAGGGGATCTGATTGCTGGAGTGACTGTGGGTCTCACAGTGATCCCACAGTCGCTTGCCTACTGCAACATCGCGGGGCTACCGCCGCAATACGGTCTTTACGGCTCTTTCATGGGCTGCTTTGTGTACATCATACTGGGCGGGTGCCGTGCTGTGCCCGCTGGACCTACAGCTATCGCATCGCTGCTCACATACCAGGTGGCCGGTGGTGTCGTAGAAAAAGCCATCCTACTCAACTTCTTCGCGGGTCTTGTAAAGCTGCTCATGGGCGTGCTGGGTCTCGGCTTCCTCATTAACTTCGTATCGGGCCCCGTGTCCTCTGGGTTCACTTCTGCTGTCGCACTCATGATCGCTACGTCGCAAGTCAAAGATCTGTTCGCAATCTCTGTGACCGGCACTACGTTTCTGCAGCAATGGATCTCTATCTTCCGTAACCTGCATTCTGCTTCGCTCTGGGATCCTGTGCTCGGCTTCATTTGCATAACTCTGCTGCTGATATTGAGGGTGAGTTAAGACTTCTATTAAGATTCTGGAGTAGCTGTCACATTGATCCGAATTTCGACTTACACTATCGGTGAATGTCTGTATTTCAGAAACTGGGCATGATAAAAATAGGTGCCAACACCGAGGGCGGGCCGACTACGAGACAGAAAGTGATCACCAAGGCTTTGTGGCTGATCAGCACCTGCCGTAACGCCATCATGGTTATTGCGACCGGCGTGCTCGGCTACTGGTTTATCAACACGCGAGGAGATTCTCCCGTCAAACTTATGGGTAGGAAAACGGCTCTTTTATATCTTATCGTGTTTACGTCTGTAGTATGATGTCTCTACTTATAATGTGTTTCTTTTTTATGCAATCGCCAGCGGAGAATATTCGCAGCGGTTAGTAGAGTAGAAAGTAGAGAGTCATATCATCGGTTGACCATATGTAGAGTACAAATCTGTAGCTGCACCAGGCAGTGTGCACCACCTCGGCTCATCGATCACGTCATAGTTATCTGGCGCTCGCGACCACCTCGCTAACCTAACAGCTAACGCGTTGTGTTACAGGGCCAATCCCGTCAGGGGTGCCGATGCCGCAATTGCCGCCCTTCAGCTACGTGCGGGCTGACAACACCACAGCGGACTTCGTCGATATGATGTCTGAGTTGGGTTCTGGGCTCATAGTTATCCCACTGATCGTGTTGTTGGAAGACATAGCCATTTGTAAGGCATTCTCCGACGGGCGCACTATCGATGCCACTCAAGAGATGATAGCACTGGGCGTGGCCAGCATAGCAAACTCGTTCATGCAAGGCTACCCGGGTGGCGGATCGCTCGCGCGCTCGGTTGTCTGCAACGGGTCTGGCGTCAAGACGACCTTGAATGGATTGTACACCGGTGAGTCTCGTAACTCCACTAATACTCCTGCATTCGAATTGGTATCTGTACCTGTCACTGTCACTCTCTGCTCTTTATTCTCCAGGTCTGATGGTCATCCTAGCCCTGCAGTTCTTCACACAGTACTTCGAGTTCATACCAAAGGCGGCACTGGCTGCTGTTATAGTGGCCGCCATTCTCTTCATGGTAGAATACAACGTCATCAAACCTATGTGGCGCGCAAAAAGTAAGTACCTACCACTATCGTCATTATTAAAGAGAAATGAAACAAACAGAGTGACCTACCCACTAATTCATGCGAACGACCCTTCTCAGTTCAGTTGTTATTGCATTAGCAAACACGTAATAATTTTTTACATTTATTTAATTGTACTCAAATTGCTTTTATTTTGGGTTGTGGGGCTTTCGGGACCGGGACCGCAGTCCGAAGTTCCCTTTTTGGTAAAATAATTATTCTTGAGTAGTATATTGGGACCACTATTAAAAAAAAGCTATAAATATCTTGGGAAAGTACGGTCAACAAAAAAAATTATAAGTTATACAAATAAAACTATTTTCATAAAACGATAAAATATTTATTTTATTTCAAAATCTGCCATTTTATAATCAACAGAAATGTTTTTAATTCAACTGCTGTAATTTTAATATTAAAATTCTCAAGATTATTGTAAGTAGATTTCGTAATTAGTGTTTTTTGTTTTTTTAGGTTCAATTCTTATAGAAATATTTTTGAAACAAAATATTTTTTTATCGTTTTTATTAAAATAGCATTTTTATTAAATTGCATAACTTCTTTTTTTTTGACCGTACTTTCCGAGATACAAATTGTTTTTTTAATTAGTACCTAGTATAAATATACTATTCGACCGCCCTTTAACGTTTAATGTTCCCTAATGATTCTTGGCCCTTTTTACTAATAGCAAGACAGAAACTTGTAAAAAATTAATTAAAATATTAATCTTTTGAAATAAACACGAAATATTTGAATATTTCACTCCGCACGAGCCGGCCCAAGCGTGGCGAAGCTCTCCCACCTTTCATTGTGTTTTTTTCCTTTATTGGTGGAGCGTTTCTTTTTGTTTTCTTAAAATCCTTTCTTTTTCCTACTTAACGATGATAACCATGGTCTGACTTCAACCAGTAACCGCACGGTAGGTAGGTACTCCAATTTTAATGTAATAAAACTTTGTGTCGTACAGAACTGGACTTGATTCCGGGCGTGGGCACGTTCATGTTGTGCCTAATACTGCCCATCGAGTTGGGCATCCTGACCGGCGTCATCGTCAACATTATATTTATTCTGTACCACGCGGCGCGTCCTAAGCTTTCTGTGGAGACACTTAAGGTGAGTCCTGGTGGTCGATTACCACGAATTCGTTACCATACGAAGGTTACTTCCACTGATCGGGTCGTATTCGTTGCAGACGGAGCACGGTGTGGAATACCTTATGATAACGCCCGACCGCTGCCTGATGTTCCCGTCGGTCGACTACGTGCGGCGGCTGGTGACCAAGTTCGCGGGCAGCAGTTCGGTGCCGGTGGTGCTGGAGTGCACGCACATCTACAGCGCCGACTACACCGCCGCCAAGAGCATCGAGCAGCTCACGAGCGACTTCCACGCGCGCCGGCAGCCGCTCTACTTCTATAACGTCAAGCCATCCGTCTGCTCCATATTTGAAGCCGTGGCGAAGCCCGAGCACTTCGTAGTGTTCTACGAGGACGAGGAGCTGGACCGGCTGCTGGCGGCCGACGAGCGCCTCGAGCCCAGCAAGACACCGCCGCCGCCTTCGCTGGGCGGCGCTTAGATGTCGCATCCGCCTACTTGATAATGCAACTTGTGATACGCCGTACCTTACCGCGAGACGATATTTTTTGAGATTGACTTGAGGGAGTGTGATATTTAGGTAAACGAGACGTTATTGTTAAACGAATAAGGTTGATAGTTATATGTATACTGTAGTTGCGACGTGTAAATATGTTTCCGTTCCCGGCTCCTGTATCGGCGCGGACGCGTCGATGTAAAACTATTGCTACGTCGTGTACATAGATAGATACGAATACGTACACATGTCGTTAGACGATAGAGTTGGGAGGTAATGGCTGTGCCAAGTGTGATCCGCGGGCCCGGCGCGGTCTGGTGCGTGACGTCACGCGATCGGACCTCTCGGGAAGCACATCTAAGGAGAAAATATCAAATTTACATTTAACGAGTAGAGACTAAAGAAAGAGTAACTGATCGTGATAGCTATCTGTAGACGTTTAAGTAACAATTTATTTATTTGTAGGAAGTACAGTACAAGTTAGGATACTTTATCGATAAGAGTCTAAGATGCAAGCTTTAACTGGGCGAGGAGCGGCTCGAGTAGAATTTATCCATTATTTTGTGATCCTCTACCGATATGTTAAGTGATAAATACCTATATTTTGAAATTAATAAATATAACAAATAAATTTTATTATAAATGCATACTATGTGTTTATGATAGGGAGGGGTAACTGTAACGATTGTGATGTTAGTATGAATGTGATGGTTGTTGTGCCGCATAGCATTTCAAGAATTTATTCTGTCACAGTTCCAAGAACAAATCCAATAAACTCTTTGAGAGTAATCGCCACCCGCCTTTTATTTGCCCAAATCACCAGCGACGCACTATTACAAATGCACCACATGTGTTTTATCAGTGAGCCCTACCGGCTATGGTCTGTACTAACCTTTCCGACCAGTCTGCCCTGCAACAGGTCGCCGTGCTGACAACTATGAATAACGAATAAAAAAATTCTTGAACGAAACAATCTTTCACGCTTCAGGACCATAATTATGTATCATAAACAATTGCAGTGGTCTATAATACATATATGGGTTAAAAATTAAACTTGACACATCTCACACACGACAGTCTGGTCGGAAACTAAGCAGAGCCTGTACTATCATAACTAGGCTTCTTATAAACGTACTCAAATATTTCTAAATACATACTTTTTAAAGATAAATTACACCTAGCCGTAGAAGAAATAATCTTGCTCATCACACAATTATTTGTTTTGAATGCGATACGAACCCAAGACCTCCGACTTGGCAATCAGGATCACTAACCACTAGACCAACAGGGGATCTCCTATAATATGTTTGCACTCCATTACATCAGCACAGGAGCCGTATACGCTACCACTGCACCAACGAGGCAGTCAATCAAGTCACTGCTCAGTAGATTAAGCACCCTTCATGAATTTTCCTTTTGTTGATTTTATAATTCTTGTCTTTTGGTCCAATTATATTTAAGTTTGCTTACAATTTTTGTGTTTATTGAGTCATGTTCAACATTATAATATTTCCCCTATCACCAGTTTAAACAATCCTCCTACTTGACCTATGATCGAAATTGCATTCATCGCAGTGGAGTAATTATGATCACACTCTATAAATATATGAACTCATCGAATTCATATCAATATGTTCTGAATATAAACACACGTTCGTTGATGTGGGAAAGCAGGATATGCGGACAGGTGATGTAGAGCTGAAAGGCGAGACGGCGGAAAGGAAACGGAAGACAACCAGTACTCTCCCGTTCTGCAGAAGGCGCACCGAGTGTCCATGAGAGTAAAACGATCTTCACGAGCAGCAACTTATGTATGTGTCTGGGTGACAGAAAGGGCAGATCCCCTATATAAGATGTGTACTTAGGGGTTAAAATTATTGTGGTCTTTTGTATTGGTTACACATGTAACAATACTTTCATTTGTTATTACTTTATATTCTTCTTAAAATATTTTATCTTATAGGTAACACAAAATCTTTAATTTTAGCTATTTGTATATTTACTTCTACATACACTATACTCGTAATACGTTTAAATAAAAAAATTAATAGCTCATGAACGTTTAGTAAGTTCAACAAAATTATAGCTACTCATGTTTAAGGATGTCTTCTCTTTAATGTCCTATGTACTGTGGATGGGTTAGGTTAAGTTTTTTTTTTTTACATGGTGGAATGCGTTGAGGCACTTCGCCCCCCCCCCCCCCCCTCGCGGGGGCATGGGGTTCACTTCGTGTGGGACTCCTGACGTGCCAGACTACCCACTAAATGACCACTACGTTTATTGAATGTCACAAAAGTATGTTATCATTACACTACTAAGGAATTGCTGATGCAGATATTATAAAGGTATTACACACTACACCACCCCCCTTAATTTATTAAAAAAAAAATTACAAAGTTTTTTTTGAAATCCAACTTAAACTATGGTTCCTTATATAATTTAGTTCTATTCTTATGTACTAAAACATGTTTTCCATTATAATCAAATGTAAAACGTCCCTGTCCTAAAACTAACTAAAACTAACTGAAATTAAACAAAAAAAAAAAAAAAAAATATTCTAAAAATATTTTTCTCCGGTTAGGTTAGGTTAGGTTAGGTTCGGAGTGGTGTTGGCGGTGTCCTTGGACATCGCCAACGCCTTCAATAGTCTGCCATTCAGCTGCATCAGGGAAGCGCTCCGCTACCACGGAGTGCCGGAGTACCTGAGGCGGCTGGTGGCAGACTATCTTGAGGAGCGAACCGTCATGTACGAGGACCGAGATGGCGTCTTGAGACGCAGGGCCATGTCGTGCGGTGTTCCGCAGGGGTCTGTCCTAGGACCTCTCCTGTGGAACATCAGGTACGACTGGGCCCTACGAGGGCGTCTCCCCCCCGGGCTGGGTGTAATCTGCTACGCGGATGACACCTTGCTCACGGCCCGGGGGGCTAACTTCCAGGAGGCGGCGCGCCTGGCCGCCACGGGAGTTTCCCTGGTGGTCGGGCGCATTGAGGCGTTGGGTTTGCGGGTGGCCCTGGATAAGACGGAGGCCCTATTATTTCATGGGCCCCGTCGTGGTCCACCCGCCGGCGCCTCAATCGAGGTCGGCTCGGTCCTCGTACCGGTCCGGGCCCAGATGAGGTACCTGGGTCTGGTCCTAGACGGTAGGTGGCTCTTCGACGAGCACTTCCGACAGCTTGGTCCGAAGCTGGTGGACACTGCCTCCGCCCTAGGGCGACTTTTGCCCAATTTGGGCGGGGCCAGTGTTCCCACGAGGCGGCTGTACGCGGGGGTTGTCCGGTCCATGGCGCTGTATGGTGCACCGGTGTGGGTGGCGGCTCTGACCGCCCCGAATAGGGCGCGCCTCTGGCGCCCCCAGAGGATATTGGCGGTCAGAGCCATACGCGGATACCGCACGGTGTCCACCGAGGCGGCTTGCGCCTTGGCCGGAACACCCCCGTGGGATTTGGAGGCGGAAGTGCTCGCCGAAGTTTATCGGCGAGTGGCTGACTTCCGGGCGGAGAGCGGATTTCGCCCTCCGCCCGAAGACGTGCGCGAGTGGCGCGAAGCCGCTCGCCGAGCCACTATGGTGAGATGGTCGTTCCGGCTGGAGACACCACGCGCTGGCTTCGCCGCCGTGGAGGCTCTCCAGCCGGTCATCGCCGAGTGGGCAGGGCGGCAGCACGGAACCCTTTCCTTCCGGCTGACGCAGGTGCTTTCCGGGCACGGTTGCTTCGGAAAGTACCTGTACTCGGTCGCTAGGAGGGAATCGAGTCCCGCCTGCCACCACACGCCCAGCACACGCTGGCGGTTTGCCCCGCATGGGCGACGCAGCGCCGGGCCCTCACTGCAGTCATCGGAGCAGATCTCTCGCTACCGGCCGTAATTCGCTCCATGGCCGGTAGCGACAGTTGTTTTACCGCGGTCGCAACCTTCTGCGAGGAGGTAATCTCGCAGAAGGAGGCGGCAGAGAAGGCCCGGGAGGACGACCTCCACTGGGACCTGATCCGCCGCCGGCAAACCGGGCGGCGGAGGCGCGCTCACCTGCGCCTCATGCCGCCCTGAGTGTGGCCGCGGGTGGACGGGATGGGTTCTCCCCTCCACCCGCATTAGTTGGCCAGCCGCGAGGGGGCGGCGTCCGCGTGTGCCGGACGCCGCCTAAAGAGAGGGTCCACTGAGACGGAGCCCGCGTCAGGAGCGGGCCGGCGCTGGGAGGGGTCCAGAAGGAGATAGCTACCTGGACCCCTCCTAAACTGGAAGCGCAAAGAGTTTGCGCGAGTCTGTTTAGAAATTTTGTGCCTGAGTCCTAAAATGTGCCCTAATTTGAGATGCTGATAATACTCTGAGGTGCCCAGTTCGATGTTGTAATCTTGCCTTGGTGCGCCCGCGGCGACCTTAGCAGTAAGCCACGGCGGTCCTCGCCAGCGCGTCCCACTTTTTGCGGACGGGGCATTGCCCCACCTCCCTAGCCACCTCAGTCCTGTCGCCGATACCGTCGAAGAACCTGTCCAGCAGGTCGGTTAGGTTAGGTTAGGTTTTTTTTTTTTTTTTTTTTTTTTTTTTTTTTTTTTTTTTTTTTATATCACTTAGGTACAATCTTGTATTCTAACTCTTCAATATTCTACTTTACCTTTTTAACTTACAATTTACTCTATCACTACAGTACAAATTCTTATTCTTTTAATAGTCTACTGTTACATTTTTACTTTACTATTTACTCTATTACTACACAAAATCTTCTTTCAATAGTTTACTTTTACATTTTAATTTACTATTTACTCTATTACTACACAAAATCTTCTTTCAGTAGTTTACTTTTACATTTTTACTTTACTATTTACTCTATTACAACACAAAATCTTCTTTCAATATTTTACTTTTACATTTTTACTTTACTATTTACTCTATTACTACACAAAATCTTCTTTCAATAGTTTACTTTTACATTTTAATTTACTATTTACTCTATTACTACACAAAATCTTCTTTCAGTAGTTTACTTTTACAT